GAAGTTGCCAATGTAGCTGGCTCTCCAGTTCCATTCGAGCTTCCTGTTACTGGCAGTTTAAGCCATGATTTAGTCAAGTAAGCCTTCGTATTTCCTAGGTCATGTTTTTCGGTCCGCAGTATGACGGTGTCGGGGCTCTGGTAATGATGTTAGTCGACTTTCAACTTTATTCCAAGAATTCACTTACGTAAAGATAGCACAAATATGTGCGCGTGATTTTCCCCTGACTTAGAAGTGCATCAACTACAGCATATTCAGGCCCAAAACTTTCGTTGACGTATTCCACAAAAGAATTTACACGAGTCAAAAGCTCGGGTTTTAGCTGACGTCTTCGTTCTTCCAAAGGAGCTCTTTGATGATAAAACCATGGATATGGTGCCTTGAACTCAGTCCCAACATTAAATGAAGGGTAATATGGATTCTCTTGAATATTCTGCCTAGTAAGTCTTTTGAGGCCGGCAGATAGCTCACTGCCGACCAAGCAAACCGACTCGCCTTCAAGGAATTCTGCAAGTTGATTCTCGTCATTTAAACCAGCTTGTTCTGAGTCTCCAGGTTGTAGTTTTGAGGAATTTTCCGGCTTCAAAAAGTTGATCTTGGATTTGCAGCAGGCATAGTCTTTGTATACGATAAACGACAAATTTGTGTATTGCTGCGTATGTAGAGCAATATTTCGTACAATCATGCTGCCATAAATATGGCCATTATCGGGGCCGTATTTCACAAGCCAAGGAGTATCCAAAAACATATGAGTCTGCCCATTCTGATGGCATCTGACTCGATAAATCGTATGATAAGGTAAGGCTAATTTTTCTTGATTTGCATCCTGAGCGTCGGGCAAAAGCTTGCTCCTGGTCATTTCCAACATTTTGAAAAGGTCTTCGTCATGACTATCCGATGGTGCATTGAATAGTTGGCAAAGCTGCGATCTCCAATCAACGAAGTTATTATGGCGATGAAGGGTGGGCGACGACATAGATCCATGAATTTCTGGTAATTGGTCAGTAGGTATTGGCAAAGATAAACATCGATTTACTCACGTGGTCTACGGTTGTCCATAGCTTGCTCAAACTGATGTTCAGAACTATATCCTCCTGCATGACCTCGAGTTGAATTGCCATGAGATTCTGGAGTGAAATTCGACGGGTTAGGGATCGTAGTTGCTAGAACGAGTTAGCATTGACAATGAAAGATACCAAAGAAATGAATTCATAGCATACGCGGACTAAAATCTCCTTGAGAATTTTGATCATAGCCATAATTTGGGTGGCCCATATCATGCTCGTGACGGGGACCATATGTTTCATGTCCGTGTCCTCCATGATGGCCTTGTTGGACTGGTGCGAGTTGCCCGGCTAGCGCATGACCGAAAGTTTTAGGACTGCTGTGGGGATTGTTCTGTGACGCATATGTCATTTGGCGGCGACTATTGCTTGACAGACTGTCGGGAGTTGGGTAATTCTTTTGCGGAATCCTATTGTTATGGCTCCAGAGTTCTGAGCCATTTGCATGTGAGGGATCATGCCCCTGTTCTATGTTTTGTTGACTGGCATCTTGACGCGACTGAGAAGAATAGGATACAGGATGAAGTCTAGAAGATTGAGATCCAGACTCCGCTAACTGTAGAGCCGTTGATTCTTGAAGATTCTGGACAATATTGGTGTTATTGCGAGCAGGTTTAGGTGCCGCCCATTGTGTAGGTGCAGCCTGGGGCGATTGGGACTTTTGATGTGGAGGGGATGTGATCTGATTATGTCTGTATCTCTCCGAGAGCTGACCTAGGGGTGCATGAGTTTAGCTTCAAATTCTGGCCTCGGGTATTAATATATATACTCACTGTTCACAGATGATTGCGTTCCAGGATTGGCCGTACTGTTCTCGAACGCCGATCTCTCGGTAGCCTGCTTATTAGCCGGTCCCCGGTTTCTATCTGCATATTGCCTGAGATTTGTTGTGTAGTTAGATCGAGTATTGTTCGCTTGATAAGGCATGTGTGAATTAGGAAAGATAGGACCAGGACGAAAGTCAGATATTGGAGCTGTTGGAATAGGTGGTGGCGGAGAAGGAGTTATTTGCGTACTATCAAGCTGTCGTATTGATGGAGAGGGGGATCGAGGGGGGTTCTCGGCAGGTGGAGAATCGGCACGATTTCTGGGACGAGTATGGTGCCAGGAATCAGGCCCATCTGTTATTTGATGTGTATTTGGCAAAGACGGCTGCTGGCCACGATGTAATTGAGCAGTGTAATTTATATGCTCTATTATAGGGCTTCCAGAATTCCCAGGCGGCTTTCGAACGATCAGTCTAGGACTTCACTAGATTACAAAAGAGGGCATTGGGGAACGCCTCCTTTCAATCAGACTCACTAGATATAGATTGTAGTTGTACTTTTCTGCTAATGTAGCAAGTAGCTTTTGTTCATCATCTTCACTTTCTTTACTTATATTTTGTGGCCCAAATTGTGCAACGTTGTCGATAACATTCTCATCTGCCTCATCTGTGACAGTTGCTTGTGCTCGACGACTACGAATGTATTCTTGAGCCTCGCGTTGTCTTTCCATTGCTTTTCCCGATGGACTTGAATCTCGATGGGAAGTGTCGTTCTGCGTTGCAGGTCCTCGATCCATTTCCGAATAATGCTCTGAATCTCTCGCCTTATCAGAGGCAGCCACATCTATGCTCTCCATGTATGGATAATATTACAGCCTTGTTGCTTGGTATCAGAAGAATTATCCACATGAAATGGGCCAATTTTTTGTATAACTGTTCTGCAGTAGTTTACTATGGGCTGGGAATTAGAAGCACGAATTAGATTTGTCGATGGATGATCACCTGCAGGTCTATTGGTGTCACTGTGAGGATGCAGCTGGCAATACATATAGAAGGGAAATTATTTCGCAATGGGAAAGAAGGAAACTTCAGAACGAACAGAAGGGAAGAAAAAAAAACGAGGCTGTCAATCGAATGTGACGCATTTCGAGACCCATGCCTGCAGATTGCTGCCCTATGCATTGACTTGGTCGGGTCGGGCCCCACACGTTACTGAATAAGGTCTATGACAACGCACTGAACAGAGAGAAATCCCATCGGATGTTTTCATACAGCCTGCATAGTACATACTGTCTGTCTGACATACAGGCTATTTGAGAAAGCACATCAATATTGAATTTGAGATGCGTAGTATGCGTAAAAGGCGGTCAAGAGTAATCAGTTTGTGGTAGCGGGACTGCCAACCCTAGCGAGGTCTAAAAGGTGGGTTCTTGGAATTGAGATTCATGTGAACATTTTGTATATCCTGTATTAATAAATATAATAAGAACGGCAAATGAGGGAGTACGTAAACTTGGCTTTATATTTTTGGGGGATAGACGAGTATTTGATGTTCAGTATCTGTGACTGTAGGCTTCAAAAGATACTATACAAACAGGTCCCTGATATCGTAAAATGTATGCTGTCAAAAAATGCAATGCGACATTCCTTCAGGCGTGTATCGTGGGCCACTTGGCTTTCATTGGTCGAAGAAAAGCTTACATCTGTACGAGCGTATAGCTTGTGAAAAGCCATCTTTAGCCATGTACCTAGGGACCTAGGTAGTATTAATAAGATGATATCAATACATACACAAATATGATTCGGAATAGTTGATCATATCTGCTAGGTCGAGCCGTTGATGAACATACGGAGTAAACCTTGGAAACTTGGAAGCTTTCATTGTGGGGGTTGTGGCTAGGGAGAATTTTTAGAAGTGGCTGCACTTCCTAAGCGATGTTAGAAGCCACTTCCGTTACTTTGATAGAGTCCCATAAACGTGATCTTGAATTACCTAGGTATTATTAGTTCTACCACACAATACTTAATCAATTGCAGTCAGGAGAAAGAAAGAGAATGTGAATAAAGAGCCTTTTTGACATGATACAGATGTCGAGATCTGGACCTGCAAAAATTATAATGCTCAAAATTTTATTTTCTCCCTGTCGAGCACGTGATGCTTTGCATCCCATAGATTCAAAAGGACCAAACGACAAAACAGATATTGAAATTGATCTGAAGATTCAGTGGAAAGAGTAGAAAGCAAAAATGAATTCCAGTACGGGGAATTGAACCCCGGTCTCCCGCGACTTGATTGAAACTCGGGAGCTTCGAATGAGAGGCGGAAATGCTAGCCACTACACCATGCCGGATGTCTAATATTCTTGATGTGAACGACCAAGCTAATTAAAAATATAAACATATATGTTAAAGACATAGGGAATTTCAGAAAAATCTCCAGCCAATCACCACAAAAAACTGGTTATGTTTGTTGTTTAGTAATAGCTCTTCAGAGAATCTATATTTAGGTAGTTTCGTTTCGTCTGGGTTAGTGGAGGAGATACAATCTAGCCGAAAAAACACACGTGCTCAGAAATCACGTGCGAGCAAACTAACAATATAATCACTGTCACTACGACGTCACTTCGAATTGAACGGAGCCTCAAATTTATTCAAGTATTTTAAGAGCTTATTAAAGAGACTATCATGTTTTCATGGTTTATCGCAGCATTGATGATGTACAGGTATCCAATACCGATTTCAGCTTGTCTCTTACCGAAAAGGAGGATGGCAATGTGTGGAAATACATATTATCAGCATCAGCATCATCGTTCGAAGGAGGCAGACTCAAAAGACCGAACAAGTGCTCGATCTAGAAACGAGTGCCTTAATCTATGAGTGTCTCATATGAACATCTGTACTGTAAATGTAAAGTCTTTCTTCGAGTCATGGCATGTTAGCATCTCATCTCAATGCTCTGAATTTTCGCAAGGTTCTTGAAAAAGGGCGCAACTCCTACTCATATCTGAGTAGCCTTTTCTCATTCCCATATCTGATTACTCCTTTTTTCGCAATTTACAGCCTTGCATTCTACGTATCTTATTGGACGCCCTTTTCACACACACTTCAAAGTTGTCAATTGCTTATTGGCCAAATTCTCAAGCCACATCGCCCTCTTTACAGTCAAAAACATGCCTTACTATCCTCAACAAGATTCTTTCGCATACGAGATGTCTACCCTCGACCAAACATGGCAATTGCTCCCTGGCGAAGAGCTTTTCATTGGTGAAATCCAGAGCAACACTATCACCAACCCTGTTTTTGATACTGAGCTCATGACGAGCTGGCAGATACTTGACTTCAATCAACACCATTCAAACGGCGAGCCTCCCATTGAAAACGCCCGAGTCACCATTTGATGTAGAGCTTACGGCGCACCACTGGCAGATGCCTATGGTCAATCACTATCCGCAAACTTCCTTGAATGATGACTTCATTAATGCAACGCCCCCGACCCACCAGTCCTTGCAACGCCCTTTTGTCGAGGGGAATTCAGCCAACCAAATCTCATATCCAGCTCTCGACCAACCTCCGTACCCTGTATGGGAACAGAGAGAAGGCAGGGACTTTGGGTGAGTTCTTATTTTCTACTGACAAGAGTCCTCCAATATAGTCATTCGTCTAATTATGAGTTTCCTGCATATCATCTACATGCTACTGCGACTCTCCGGTTGGCTGCATCAGGTCCTCTGCCCTCGAGTAAGGCAGATGTGACGGCCGCCTCTGCACCACCTCTTATCACCACCCCTGCTCATCCAATCACCGGCCGTTATACCTGCTCCTATCCCACCCGCGCTCAAGACTTCAAGCGCTCATCAGATCGTCTTCAACATATCTCATCAGTTCATCAACGCGGCCAGACAAATCAAGGAAAGAACCTCTGCCCTGTTGTTGGATATCGTCAAAGCTACGGGAGAGGACTTTGTCGTCCAGACAAATTTAATAACCACTTGAAAAAAGTCCACGGTCTTGTTACAGTTACTCCAAATAGCGGTGCTGCTTCTGCTGGCTCTTCTGTACACGGTACTGGCAACAGCTCTAATGTCGCCGGTAGAGCTGTTGCTTTGGCCGGAAACGGAAATTGATAAGAGAGAAGGCTTACCAAGGAGTGACTTTTGATTTGACACAGATATACGCAGTGTTGTTATTCCATGGGACTCGAGGAGTTGGATGGGATACGGGGGATTGCTTTTCTTGGCAATGCTTCACTTGGATTTAAGGCCTTTGGTAATGGTAGACAGCTTCTCACACTAGATGCGAATCATTCCAGTACTCTACAGTTCTCCCCAACGCTATGTTCTCTCATCTCAAGCCCTCTGGGATCTCCAATATTCCAGAATGTAGCCACGAAACGATTCTATTCACTTAACTCTTTGAATATGGCTTGATTTCTTATTCCACTTCAACCTCTAGAGATAATTAAGAAATCCCCGCTGCTACAGGTATCAACTCCGATTAAAGACATTTCAATCGATTGAGGTCTAGTGCGATCTAGACTATTGAAACATGGTAGGATGCTTGAGATATAGTGATAATATTTCGAAAGATTGGTTCCGTTTGGGCTATATATGGCAATACCCGTGATTTCGGATTTCTTCTTGTTGCACATCGACCAGAATGTTTCCGAGTATATATAACAGTAGGTAGTCATCACCTCCCTCGCCCCACCCGGGGCCTTCTTCATATCTCAATCCCTCCTCTTTCATCCTCGACACGTGACCAGTTAGCAAAATGTAGCAGCTGTTGTACCCCGCTCCATTTAGGGGTGGTAACCACGCTGCCGTGTAACAATCGTCCACCAATACGATGCCGCCATGTTTTACTCTCGCTTTTATTTTGTGGCGATTGCTACATATTTGATGAACTTGTTTCCTTTGTTCTCTTTACCAAAACAAAATAAGGGTATTGAAACCCAGCATTTGTACATGATCTCCTTTTACCCCGAAAGATTTCCTGTCCAAGAATACACTATTATTTGCGACTGCCGAACATAACAAATTGCGAGCACAGGGGTGAGTTGCATAAATCAAACCTGCACCCTTATCTGAAGATTATAGTGTAGCACTCGTTCGAGTCTCCACTCCCAGACAGATAGTATAACCGGTGTCAATCACTGAGAATTGCTTTACATTTTGCTTGGGGATACCTCTACAGATCAACCTTTTTTACACACATCCTATCAACGTGACTCTATCGTCACCTGTGTCAGGTTCGTATTGCCGAGCAGTTGCGGGCATAAAACCCAAGACAAATCGCGCACCACTGATTGACAGTCAATTTCCATCCTTGAAAGCACTATCTCGGAAAGATGGCTTCCGAGTATGTAGCTACTGGTCAGCGGCACAACGGGGAGAATAGCGGACTTACAGTTAGTAACGATGATGACGAAATGGCTCGCGCAGTCGACATTATTGAGGATGAACTTGGGGGTGGGGAGGAGGATGAGGGCCCAAATCCTGGGGAGAAAGTATTGTGGTTCGGGATGCACAAAGGGCATAAATATGACGAACTATCTCCTTCGTACATAGAATTTATGGTAAACAAGTATCTGGGTTCTCCAGATACTGCTTCGGCAAATGTGTGTTTCGCCTTAGAATATGTAAAAAAGGGCTAACGATCACCCATTTAGATCAAGGAGTTCATGACGTTGTACGATCGGAAGCAAGTCTGGATTGAAAGAAATCCGTCCAAACTCCCGCCTCCCGGCAAGACAATCATGTGGTTCGGCAAGTATCAAGGCATTGCTTTTGACAAATTGAAAGATGGATATGTGATGAGCCTCGTCAATTTTTATCACGAAGACGGTGACGAAGCATTCCCAAACGTAAGATACATCCCCTTGCTGAAAACTATAAGATGCCAGCCAACATTTTCAATTAGATACGAAAATTCAAGGAACTAAAAGATAGATACGATTCATGGCTCGTTGCAAAAAAGATGCGCACAAGTAAAAGTCCAGGATCAATTCCGATTTGGTTTGGGGAGGACAAGGGTAGTGAGTTTCGAACAATATATAAATCTAAGCCTCGGAAGTGGAGATGGCTTTTAAAGAATTCCCGATGGGCCCCGATACTCAAAGCCATTGCTCGTGAGTTTGACGAATGGTTGTTGAAAAAACCGCCACGAAACCAACCTGCTTCGCGGAATAGACCGGTGATTGTCAATCCAGTCGGCGAGAGACTAGGGCCGGGCGATGACGAGGTAGCTTCCAATGATGAGTCTTATATAACCGACGATGGCTTTGTGGTTTAAGATGAGGACGAAAGCTCTGATGAGCATGAAACGAGGGAGTCGGAGACTGACGAGGAAGTCGACGAATCAACCACAGCTGGAGCTTGCGAGGTCGATCAAAACACATTCCCAAATCTTGAAAGCAGCGCAAGCGATACGCCAGAAGAAGTGCTACCAGGAACATCGAGTGTATCAAGGTCTCCCAAGCGAAAACCGCTAGAAATTTCTGAAGATTTTGCTTCTTTATCCGACAGTGGTGATGAGTCTGAAGCAATCGTATCTCCTGGTAAACGTAGAATGACACGTAACCGTTTCCGGCCCCAAAAGAAGGCAGGTTCCATGCCTGAGAGCGATAGCGACGACTAACCAGCTTCACTATCCGAGACGGACAAAGGCAACGAATCAAGGTTCTGGAAAATGGTATCATTCATGGCCGATAACCCAAGAGAAGAACTTTGATCACGAACTGAGAGATGTCACTCACCCATCTTCAGACGCAATAAAAAATCAGAAGGGCGATCTCAATGTTTCAGATTCAGAGGATCCATTACTGATTTGACCAAGAGATAAACTCAATCTTGACTCCCAAGCGTGGCAAAACTCCAACCCGCACCAGAGATGCAAAAAGCACAGATTCAGAGACCATCCTGCGAGCTCAATCAAAGGAAGAGATACAAAGAAGCAAGCTAAGAGAAAAGGGGAGAAGGAATGATTAATAGGCATGTAGAGTGTTGTCTCATCTTGACTTTTAAGAATTGGGACATCACGTGGTGCACTGCAATGAAATTTCAGAACAATGAACTATGTGGATATAAATGGTGATGGGGTCAAACTGTAACAGAAATTTCGATCTTCCGTGTATGATTGTTACACAGTCAGCGTGAGCAGTTGTAGTTATAATGGTGAGAGGCCAGCCGTTTCTATATGTAAAAAGGAATTTCGGGCGTAGGCTTCACGAGCTCATGATGCAGTAGAATATAAGCCTTTTTCCTTTTCTTGACAAACAAGTCAAATCCGCCATCATCATACTCGTACTTATTAATCTTATTCGAAGCGGGTGTAGCCCAACTTTTTGTTGCTAGTCTAAAAACTAATAATTCATATAAAATCTGAACAAAGTCTATAAAAGTTATTAAACTTATTTATCACACCCTATAAATTTTGTAACAAAATCCCTATAAAAAATTCTTTTTTACACAAATTAAAAAAATTAATAACTTTTTTAATTTAAGGAATTTTATTTTTAAAATTTCAAAATAAATAATTAATATTATTCTTTATTGGAAAAAATATATTTTTTATTTTTAATAATTTTTATTCATAAATTATATAAATTTGAAATTAAAAAAATTGAAATTTTTTAACTTGTAATACTTTTCCTATATAAAATAAATAATTTTTTTTGAAAAATTTATAATTCTTATCTTTAATAACTTATAACGTGGTTTAACACCGAGTGCATCATATCACCGAATGCACCACTTCAAAATACACCAAAATTAGCCTTTTCCTAATATTCATATTTTAATACTTAATCAATATTTTTTAAAAGACAAAAAAGATTTATTAATAAGAAAATATTTTTTATAAAAGTATTAAGTTTCTATATAAAAATTTCTATTATATTCTATAAAAAGTGGAAATTGTCACGATTTTCGTTACAAAAAAACTATTCCTATAATAACTACTATATTAATTCAAATTTTTAATAAATAATTAAATTTTTATAATATTTATATAATTAAATGTTACAATTTCAAATTTTGAAAAATTATATTATTAAATAAAGAAAGTGCACGGTTACGCACAGACGTATTTTGTATGTAAAATTCGTGGTGCACTCGGTGATATGGTGCACTCGGTGTTAAACCACGTTAACTTTATAAATAAAATATTTAAAAATAAACTAGATTTTTTTAATATATAATTAAATTAATTCTAAATCGATGTTGAATTCTTTTTATCATTTTATATAAAGTTTTAGTAAAGAAATAGGGGTTTTAAAAGCTGAAAAATTAATGGTTTTAGCGGGGAAATCGAAATCTGTATGGTGAGGAGGTTCCAGAACTCTTACATACATCATCAATCAACAGAATGTTTCTGCCCAAAGCGGTGAACGCAGTCATCCCTATCGATGAAGACGATGTTCGCGACATTTTGGATAACGAGCGAACACAATGATCAGTTGACAACATAAAGGAGCGAAATATCATAGTATGGATCGAGATAAATCACCACTCAAATGCTCAGAAAACAATATCGCTCATGTTTCTCCGTGCACTTCGGAATGTAGCAGCCGAACCTTGCCTACGCATTCGCAGTCTCCAACCTCACATTCGATTCTCAAGCAGTATGGCTTCTAAAGGTCGTAGCTATCAGGATGCAATTGCACTTCTGGATACCTTGCAATCCAATCGAACGATTGTATCGTCCATATCAAGTACCTCAAAAGATATGAACCTGTGTGCTATACCAGAAATGCTCGAATGGACGCGCAAAGCGGGGTACGAGACGCAGGATTTCTCGAAACGTGGACTAAAATGTATACATGTAGCTGGAACAAAAGGGAAGGGGAGTGTGTGCGCTATGGTAGATAACATTATGCGACAGTATCGCAGCGAAGAATGTGACATCGGAGTCGTGCCAGGGAGTACTAAGAGAAAAGCTTTGCGGAAGATTGGACTATACACCTCACCACACCTAATGTCAGTACGTGAAAGAATACGAATAGATGGCCTCCCCATATCTGAACCCCTATTTGCGCGGTATTTCTTCGAGCTTTGGGATCGCTTCTCTGATGCCGCTTCCGCATCTGCTACCCCGCATCCGAATCCCGCGTCCCCTGAGACCAAGCCTGGGTATTTTCGATATCTGACAATCATGGCTCTACATACATTTATGGAGGAAGGAGTAGAAACCGCCATTATGGAATGCGGTATTGGAGGGGAATATGATAGCACCAATATACTGCCTGCTGAAGCTGTTACTACCACCGCGATCACGAAACTCGGCATCGATCACGTTGGAATGCTAGGAAACACAATTGATAAGATTGCTCGGCACAAAGCTGGCATCATGAAACGAGGTATCCCGTCTTTTACAGTTCCTCAGCTTCAGGAAGCGCATTCTGTTCTAGAAAGCCGCGCCAAGGAGAAAGATGTCAAATTGGAGGTTGTGAATCGATGTGCTAGGTTCGATGATGGAACTATCATATTAGGCGCCGAAGGAGAGTTCCAGAAGGATAATGCAAGTCTAGCAATGGCTGTTTCGGCATCACATTTGCGAGATCTATGTATTCAAGACGTGCCTACTCCTTCTGCATTACTATCTCTCCAACAACCGATTCCAGATAAATTTTTAGAGGGTCTGAAGACAATCAAATGGGCCGGTAGATGTGAAGTTGTGGTCACTGGCAGAATCACATGGCTCATTGATGGTGCTCACACAATCGACAGTATCGGGGAGATTGGCTTATGGTATGCTTCGAAACTCATTCAAGCTAGCGCGGAAGGAACTCTCCCAGCAAAAACTATGTTGATATTCAATCAACAAGAACGCGATCCAGATCCTCTAATTCGAACACTACTTGCGAGTATTAACATTTATTTCAGAGCGTTCACATTTGCTGCTTTTTGTACCAATACCCCTTTTAAGAGCGAGGCAAGTGAAAAAGAGATCAATGATCTCACCCAACAGAAATTGGCGTCCAAACTATATTCCAGTTTGGATCGTAATCCAATGTGTATGGAATATGCGAGTATTGAAGAAGCTGTAGAGCTTGCGCATAGGGCATCCGAAGATGAAGAAAGATTTTTCGTCCTCGTAACTGGAAGTTTGCATCTCGTCGGTGGTCTTATGAAGGTTCTTGAACATCAGAGTAAAACAGAGCGAATAATCTAGAAGGTCTCTCAACGCCGAATTGAATAATGCTGGAGTTTGTTTTGATACCCGTTCTTGATGTAGATAATACAAGAACTACGCTTACAGTGGGAAATCTATGGTTTCGATATGTTTTATATGAAGGAACATTGTTCGTATGTTCATCGAAGCATTTGGCTATACTGTTTGATGTGGACTTGAATACTAAACGTTAGACTCGAAATGAGATAGCAAACTAAATGTAGGTACTTTTAAAGACAGTATGCCCTGACAATTGACACATTTCTAAATTAACATATTGGTTGAACAATATCGTACACATCATACAAATTCGTGAATCGCGTTATCCCTTCCCCTTCCTCCGCATTCCTCTTCTAAATTTCCACGTTGAGGTACAGCCCAGTTCTTCATTTTGTTTCACCACCTTCGATTCTTTACAGTGCATCGACCGATTCCAAACTTCCCAGTGCTCTACCAACCAAATGCACACTCCCCGTAATTAGAGCTTGAGCATGTACTCCATCCGTAGCCAAACCTCGCACGTATTCAAACGCATCTTCCACGCTCGGAAGAACTTGTACATCGGTTCCAAGGATGAAATCAAGCGAGCGCCATTTGTCAGCAAAGGCTTTTTGCATCGTGAGTTCGGATATCGATTTAGGGTCGTAGGAAAGGTTAACGAAATCTAATGACGTCAGTATTTATTAGAGTATTGCTAGTGATAAATAATTACCTTTCTTAGATGCATTTTCTTTTTGAATGGATGTTGTGCAGAATATGACGTGGTCGAATTTAACGGATCCTTGGATTGCGCTATGAAGTCCTTCAAGTAATCCAATCGTTTCACGATGACCCTGTTGGTTGAAAATCAGAACTCGTGGACCGTGCCTAGAGAAGATCAGTTCCATGAACTCAATATCATGGGATGAAACATACTCCTTTGCGACCTCATCACCAAACCATTTTGCTGCGACAATGATACTGTCTGCAGTATGTGCGCCATCCAAATACCAGGTGACATTTCCATCAACTTTTGTTTCGCATCTTCCACGCCAGACCACTTGTTCCAAAGCGTCTACGAATTCTTGGGGTAGAAAATTCGAGGATGTACTGAATTTGGGGTCCATTTTCTCTAAAACCGTTTCAGCCAGAGAAATCGCAAGACTCGCATTCCCCCTCTGAAAATCGGCAGCGGGTTTAATTTTCACCGTCGTCAGTCTTGAATCTAGATCGACTACTTTGAAAGACTTGACCCCCTTTTCCGCAGCTCTCTTCTCTACTACTTCCATCGCCTCCGGCTTTTGATTCACTGTAAATGATGGAACTCCTGTTTTCTGAATTCCAGCTTTATGCCATGCAATTTTGTCAATCGTATCTCCTAGTGTAAACACATGATCGATCCCTAACGATGATATACCCGTCACCGCAGGTCGATCCACAATGTTCGTCGAATCATATTCGCCTCCAACGCCAACTTCATAGATCGCAGCATCGACGCCCTCTTGGAGGAAAACGTGATAAGACATTAAATTCAGGTATCTGAAATAAACGGGCTTCTCAAACGGATCGCTCGAGGATGCCGCAGCTGCTTCCAGACGATCCCATACCTCAAAGAAGTATTTTGCAAACATGGGAGCTGAAATGGGTGATGAATTGATTCGGATTCTTTCCCGGACAGCGATGAGATGGGGTGATGTGAAAAGTCCAACCTTTTGGGGTAGATCACGTGACTTTCTGTACCGATTCAGTATAGAATCAACATAGGCGCACGTAGACCCTTTTCCTTTGGTGCCGGCAACATGAACGATATTCAATCGTTCGAGATCATCTTGCTAGACGCGAGTCAGAGACAGCAAAATAGAAAGGGAGGTTGAAGAATACGGTATATCCAATTCGAGTCAGATGCTGTTTCATTTCTCGATTAGCTCCTTCATCGAGTTTGATCCCAGCTTCCCATCGTTTCTTGAGAACTTCGTATGGTGTTTGAAGTGTATTCAAGGCATTGATAGCATCCTAATTGATGGTGAGAAAAGAAGTCATGTATGTAGCAATGTTTTGACAAGACGAACATCATAGGTCCTTTCTCCCATTGTAGCAATAAGTCTTCGCGAACCTGAAGCGCATTTATTGAAGCGGGGATTTATAGAAGTATTTCTTAGGGATCGGAGAGATGATCTAGAGAAAGAAGACCACATCACATGTCATATATAAATCTTTGTTGAGAGTTTGAAGATACAAATTTTGAGAAATGTGAAGCACCGCTTTGCTTTGTCATCCACTGGGGATCGCTGATATGTTAAAGCAGCGCATAATCTTCAACAATCTCTCTAATTTTCCCATCGCCGTTATTGTAGAATTCTTATCTAATCGTCGCATTTCATGACAAACGGCATGACTTTATCGTGAACACCAACAGAAGATGATAGATCCAGACGAAGAAGAAATGCCATATTCTTCGCTTCCGCTTCCACCTCCGCTCCCTAGTGGTCACCGTGTTTCCACGTTAGGGAAAAAGCGCTCTGACAGACCAATATCTAGGCAATCTTAAGGTTTTACCGTCAATTGATGGGATATGACGCAAAAGTGGGGTGGTGAAGATAGTGGCCGGGCTGGTGGTGTGCTTGCAAGGGAGATATAGGCAGAAGTGTATTTACAATGTAGCTTATCACCGCTACTTCTCCTCGAGATACCTACCTACTCATTGTTTATGAGATATGGCGCCAAGTATATCTCAGAGTGATGACATTTCACAGATCAGTGGTGATGGGCCTCAGATATTCTCCATTGAGGATGTTGTACTTGAGAAGGGTATGCTGGAGGAGGAGGCAAATGAGCCGGTAGTTGTGAAGGTCGAAACTCGATTTTCGTAAAAGGAAGTGACAATCCGACAAGTAGCCCCTATGGTTATCGTCTTAACAGGGGCAACGTTTCTTGTTGTAAGTATCAAAGCTATGGATTTTTGAAAGGAAACCTAATATCTCCCAGACAACCGCTGCTCAAGCAGTCATCATTATTTTACCCGAAATCTCTCGAGATCTTGAAATTCCTCAAGCTCGGAAACAATGGGTGCTATCTTCTTATGCATTGACTTCTGGCTCGTTCTTGCTCCTATGGGGCAAGCTGGGAGATGTGTATGGCAGGAAACTGCTATTTATCATAGGTGCACTTTTCACGTCTGCAACTTGTATAGCGACGGCCTTTTCACCCGTTGAGATTTGTTTGTATGTGATGCGGGCTTTGCACGGACTCGCATCGGCTATCACTATTCCTACAGCGATTGGCATTATAGGACATACCATTCCACCTGGTCGAGTTAAAAACTATAGCTTCGCATTTTACTCAGGCGGAGCACCAATGGGCCAAGTTCTTGGCAATCTCATGGTGTGTATTCCCTAAGTTTGGAAGTCCACTGGCAAATCTAATTCATCATTTAGGGTGGGATCGTCTCTCAATGGGCGAGCTGGAAAGTTGTTTTCTTTGTGATAGCTGGTGCTTCACTGACTATTGCTGTAAGCGCAATTCTTGTGGTTCCAAAAGAGCCACCTAAAGGAACTGATGAAGATACAGTACGCGCCTCGGGAGTAGATTGGATTGGGGCTTTCCTATTCACTGCTGGTCTACTGTTACTACTCGTAGGCTTATCTCAGGGAGGCTCGACTGGATGGCAGGAAGCTTCAGTCATTGCCACCATAGTCATATCTGGCTGTTTACTAATAGGATTTGTTCTATGGGAACACTATCGGGAGACCAAAACCACAAAGGAACCATTGATGAAAATATCGACATTTCGTCATAAGCAATTCTCGATTGCTATGATCATCATCACTTTATTCTCGTCCGGCTTTACGAACTTTTGTCTCTACACAACTTATTAGTATGTCCTAAATCCAATTGCGCAATTTCAGGGGCTGATTTAGATTCAGCTACCAAGACTTTCTGCTTCTTGAGCCTTTACAAACTGCACTTCGGTACATACCACTGGGAGTTGTTGGTAGTAAGTTATGCAGATCTTCTTTCACGATAAATTGTTCTAAGCTCTGATACTTTTACAGTTCTTACCACTTTCGGATCCGGATACTTACTCGCTCGAATCAATGGCGATTACATTCTCAGTTTTGGTCTTGGCTCGGCTATGATTGCCAATTTTCTGTTTGCCGTACCAATATCTCCCAGCACGTCATACTTCGCCTTTGGATTACCGGCAATGTCACTTGCAGCATTCGGTGCTGATACAGTCTATCCATGCCTCGGTTTATTCACAACTCAATCACTTCCTCGAAAGGATCAATCAGTCGCAGGAGCCCTGTTCCAGACTATGGCAGCTATTGGGCGATCTATGCCATTACCTATCACATCGGCAATTCAGCAATCAGTACAGTCAAAAGAATTGAACAAAGGGGCGACCGAGATGCTAGCATTCTTGACGGGATTGAGGGCTGTCGAATGGTTCTGCGTAGGTTGTTTGGCAGCATCATTGGCTATGACTATTATTGGGCTCAGGAATATTGGAAAGATTGGGATGTTAAAGAATCTAGGAGTTGCTAGGAACGCGAAGGAAGAAGTGTAAAGTGTAAAATATATGTAACCACAGGTTATAGATCATAATATATATAAACTTTGATGATAATCAGATCTAGATTGAACTATCAGATTTGTCGGAGTATCGCGTAATCTCGAAGCCTCCCTAGACCCTACCACCGACTGATACAATTCAATCGTCGGAAACCTTGAAGTATCTATCTTGCATTTCCCATCCTAAAGCCAACCTGAACTTTTGAATTAGACGATGCAATGCTACTGACATAATAAAAGGCTAATTTCGGTACAGTTATGCGCCGACGTAGAGCTGTATTGACAAGCGAGGCATTAGTCCTTTAGCTCGGAGCTACTTATAATTCTAGTTTTGTATACCTACCTAGGTAAGACTTGATTGACTAAGGATTGATGATGTGGGCTACGTGCTCACAATCTAAGAACGAAATCTAATAACAGTTTTTTTTTAAGATCAAAATGACACAGCCGAAGGTACCTAGTACTAGCAGTCGCCAAGACCGGTAGTCGTAAAACCGCTCTGAAAGCTCATATAGTTATAGTTGTTAGTTTTGTAGTAGTAGTTGGTAAACATATCAAAGACTCAAAAGTCTAATACAAAGTACTATTTCTAGTAGGCCTTGACATGACTAGAATGCTGAAAGAGAATTTGTCGAGAAACCGTACAATAAAGATCTAAGCCCAATAAATCTCACCGCTAACATCACTATTAGCCGCGAGAAACTTCTCGAACGAGACCTCGTCAATCTCTTGTGAAAATTCTTCACTCGAACTAGACTCCTAACTCCAGTTGAAATTCTTCATTTAAACTAGACCTCGTATATGCCTATTGAAATCCTTCACTATATGAAGTTTAAATTAGTAGAATTCTGTAGAAGTAATAGTTCGATGATTAATATTAACTACTTGGTTTTATTAACAGGAATCCTTTATCTACTATTCTCTTTATATATATTATATGAGATGAAATTAATATAAGTCAATAGGAAAATACAATATAGTTAATAAGCTCTAATACAAAGTCTTATCTAAATTAAAAGTTAGTAGCTGCTGTATATAAGTACCTCATACTAATATTCGAATAACTATAGTTGCTTTTCTATCTTATTGATAAGAAGTTTCTAAACGAGTCCGATAATACAAATAAGTATTTCTGAAATCGAAACCCCCTAACTAATTTCGATTATACAACGAGTTAAATCAACTTTTTGTAGACACCTAAATCAACTTAGAGAGTTTTAATACTCACTCAACTAACTTGAACCTCTAAAATATATTTGAAAATTTTTATTTTTTTATTTGTATGTTCTTTGTGGTTGTTACGTCCTTTGTTACGATTCTCCATTCCTATATGGCTGTTGTACAGGCCTCAGATCGTTGTTTCCACCACAAAGAAGACAAACAACGGCTCTATCCGACATACCCAACTCCCAAAATCGGGAACCTTGTTGGTATATTTGCGCCTAATCTTTATCTCCGACCTACATCCGGCCCAAAAGACGACACAAATCACGACATACACAAAACCCAAATAGTAACCTTTGTGAACCTTACCACCATTCACAATCCTCCAGAACGCAAAACAGGCATCCACACTGTCATCGACAATAATACTTCGAAGTACGGCATAAGAAGTATCGCACAATGCGAGGGGGCACATAGGGGAGTTATGTAATACACAAGATAATCTTGGGGAATTTGCGGCGAGCCCACAGAAGATCTGCCAGAGTCTTCGATCATTGCGGAAGATGGCAGCATGAGACTTCTTTCTACCCAGGGCCAATGAGGGCAGAATGAGTCATGAGAAAGATTCTCAAATCACCCATCGGGATTCTCATATGCGGAACCTAATACGTTTTAGGAGGTCGACATCTTCTCCTAAAGCAAAACTCAACACCCTACTCAATATGGACAAACACACCTGCGCCCTCCAAACTCAATGTTGTTTATCCAATTCCAAAAAGTCGGCTCTGGGTGAGTGGAAAAGAGAAGAGAATGCGGTTTTGGTGGCGGTGACGAGGCATGCAGAAGTTGTGTCCAAATGAGTGCCGCTCTCAAATTCTTAACTCAAGTAGAGGATTTGCTAATCTACTCTCAAGGCAGGTTTCATAATTTTTCTAGCCATACAAGAGGAGAGGAAATAAGACATATCGATCGATTTGTGGGTTTGCTGGAGAAGTTTTTCGTATTTCAGTCGTCAGAAAGCTAGACGGAGTACTAGGTACAGTGATAGAGTCTTTTATCGGGCGTATCACCCTCTTTAGCTATCGTATTCATGTCAAAGAAAATTTTATCAATTAAAGATTCAAATAATTGTTATAATCGGCCATTCATGTGTCAAAACGAAGTATATTGTCGGAATTGACTGCGTTATTGCGAAGTGTATTCCTAGGACTTTCTTCGTGTTGGTCGCATAGAAATGGTAGTTGAAATGCCATCGAAATGGTGGGAAGCCTGCCAAGGACTTTCACTTGGCTGTTCACATGTTCTACCATGAGAACACCAAATGTTGGCATAACCTTTAGGACTCGAGACATCCTCGAAATGACCAGGCTGTTCTTCTTCCTTCGCAGACTGTCTCTCGTCAACACTTATTCGATTACATGTTGTGCCTTGGCTTCGCTCAACAGTTTCGACCTCTTGGCAATCTTCTTGGATGACGATTGCATTCTCAGGCTCATCGCAAGACCGACGACCCAAACGACCACTTTTTTGACTCTCCCTACCGAGGAAGTGTGCTGTTCGAAGCCCGCTTTCGGGGTGCGCGACGATGCTCCAGAGGCCGGTCTCTCTTTCTTGATCGACATCTTCATGATTGCGAGGTCTCACAATAGACGCAGCAAGTGCATGCATATCACGTTCTTGGAATGCCATAGTCTCTTCAATGATCATGCTATCGGCGATTCTGTTGAAGTCGATTCCAATGTTCAAATTTGGCTCAAGACTTTCTTCGACATCACTCTCTTCGACGTAGAGCCCATTGTAGTGATATTCAAGTGAGAAATGCTGCTCAGACTCGAGCTGTCTTTCTGGCTCGAACAATTCTCCAGGCTGGCATTGTCTCTTCACTGGTCTGACGTCAAACACCCCCTGCTCAAACAGAGGTTGTTCTCTCTTCTTGAACTGGGCATCAGATAACATTTGAGACGCGTTCTGATATCTGTGTTGGTTCTCATGGACTTGATAGCCTATTTGACAGGCTCTCATGTCTTGTTCCTCGCGAGTGCAAGCATGAAATCTTTCATTTTGTCTTTGTCTCACAGGTTCGCCGGTGTATCTGCTTGAATGAACCTGAAGACTTGGTCGAAAGCCCATGTGCATGCGTCTTGAGTGGGCGTTGTCCCTGTATGGCTGCATGGATGCCACCATAGGACCCTTGTCTTGCGTCATCACCTGGATGTTGGAGGCCCCATACTCGAAAAGGTTTGTGCTCGGATTAGGGACGCCGGTTTCTGCATTATAGAACACTGAGTGTTTGCTAAAGGGTCTATTTGTATCGCAGTAATTTTGTTCGAAACCCATTTGCGACCCAGAGTTCTCAGCATTGCCATCAGCCAAGTTCAATTTCTCATTGTTGATATCATCATCGACTTGCATCTGGGATTGAGGACGATCATTGATGTGATCAGAATGCTCGGATGAATCAACCACGGAGTTGTATTCAGTCTGAGACTCATATTCGTTTCCGATTTCATTATCCATTGGATAGTCGTCGTCTACAACATCCTCGCTAGCATCTGCATCGACAGCTTCGTCGTCACCGTCCCCATCATTCGTGCTGGGTGTGTATCCATTGGCCGGATTTAAAGATGAGCCTGGGTGATTAGTCGAATGTTCTTTAATGACTTCGCCTGTCTCGAGACTGATCAGGCCATTTGCTAGCTTCTGCAGATACTCGTCCTTCTTTCCAGGTTTGTTATACTCTGCCCACATCTTGTTAGCATATTTGTTTGAGGCTACCATCGAGCGTTTTCGAGCCCCCCAATCTAGGAGTACTTGTCCGCCAGCTTCTTTTGCCCTCTTGCCTTCTTTTCTGGCCTTTTCTTCAACAAAATTTTTGATGTTTTCCGGTTTTGTTTCGTTCAACATCGCCAGGAGCATCCTGTCGCCTGTCCATAGACGTCCGCCTCTGCACGCAAGGACTCTATTGATCCTATCAATCGCGCCTTGAGTACGACGTGTGGCTCGCGGCTTTCCAGCTGCTTTTTTCTTGAGCTCCTTCATATGCCTGCATTTATTAAATTAGCTACCACCATCGATTTCTGGGACACAGTGAAGAGCAAGGCAAGTCTCACCGTCCTACAATCTGCGCGTCAACGCCATTGGTCATTATTCGCCGATTTTCTGGCGATGGTCCCTTCGTCCAAGCCTCCGTGCCAAGCTCGGTATTGCATAATTCTGCAATCTCTTTGCTTGTCAAATCTAGATCTCCATTGGCATTGTTATCATTGAAATAATTGTCGAGCCACTGCGCGTGTTCCTCAGTTTTAGGCATTTTGACTATAAATTGAGCACTTGATAGCTATTTAAGATCTTGAAGTGGTCGGGAGGTATTCGGAAAACGATCTGGAGAATCGACAGAGATGCAGTCGGTTGTTCTTGATGAAACCTAGTCCCTCGTCCGAAGTCAGATCCCCCTCGTTAATCTTTTGAAGGATGAAAAGTTATTCACCTTCTACTGTCCTTGTGGGATGTTTTACACAAGATTCCACGCAACAGATATTTTGTGGAAAGTCGTTGTGTGCGTGAACAAATTTTCTGATCTCGATACAACCTCTTAATCACGATTGACTTAAGTTATCCTGTTTGAATCAAGTTGTCCGGGTGAATTTTATTTGTCTAATGCCGACGCCGACTTTCTTCTACCTCGAATTTGTTTCAAAAAGGTTCGTGTGTGGTCGTGATTACAGTTAATCAAGATATAGAAATTAGATGATTGAAGTTGTGTGGATTTTTATTTGGAAGTGGGTGGTAAAATAGAGGAGCGTATTGAGACGCGATAAATCTCAGATATGATGAAATCGTGGAATCTGTCGCTTATCTTTGCTGTCTAGCACTTCGTTCTTACTGTATCATCATTGGTTGCCAAGGCACCCCCGCCCGTAACGGGGTGCGACCTCGAAATTTCGATCACTTGAAAAACAGGCACAAAGCGGCGGACCGCAACTATCGCAGCAATTCCAAATTTGGTAGTCTAAGTTGGAGCACTAGGATGGAGATTCAAAAGTTTGCAAATCTGGCCAACACGCAAGAATAAGTTCCTCCTTATTCTTGCGTGTTGGCCTAAACTACGTTCAGCATCTATGAGACAGGACTGACTGCGAGCTTCGCATCAATAGTTTTCCCTTTACAGGTGATTCTACGACTATCAATACCGGTTGCTGGGTGTCTTCCGTAGACTTGTCTCGATTCTTACCATTCTCGTTCACCGAACACAGTCAGGCCAGCCTTCGAGGAAGTCGGGAGTTATTACACCTCTGGTGATGTTATTTTGAGGTTCAGGCACATAGAATACCGATATATGTATACAGTTGATAGTCAGGGTCAAATAGATATCACAGTCGATAGGATTTTCTATAATTTTAAACAGAATGCTTCATAATTTGTGATTTGCGTATATTTTACAGGTGTATCGCAGACAGATCATGGTAATTTCTACAAAATCCGCAGTATCCCTCATGTTGCAATAGCCCAATTCAAAGACAATGAGCGCCGGGTATCTTCAATTCTACCCAAGCCTCGAAACAGTGCAGTCCTTTCCTAGCTTGTCCATCCTTTCCTCCGTGTATCATCTATCCAATTCTATAGAATCACGGTATTTCCATCTTTTACCAGTGATTGCTCCCAAAACCAACTTGCTGAGATCAATTGTCGCCATCGAGATTGGGTGGATCCCAATCCTCGAAAAGGCCGTCGTTGCCCAGGAAAGCCGAGAAATCGAACTCTCCATTGTGCAGAAATATCTGCTCTAGGGCATTCATGTCTGGCGCAGGAAGCATGTACTCGAAGTTCTCTGTGCCTTGTGCATCTGCAATATCCTCTAGAGGTGTTTGAGCCGGTGGCTCAAGCTCTTGAGCCTCTACTTGTAGGAAGGCAGGATCCTGTTGTGGTTGGACTTCCCAATCGGCTTCCCAATTCCCATGTAAGCTCCCAGATGTATTATGAGTTCCGGGACTAGGAGCGCCTGCGTGAGGAGCTGCATCATATTGTGCTGCTGCAGGATTCGTAGTGATAGTCGTTGCATGCTGTTGTGTATCCGCTACGCCCTGCGCCATGTTTTCCGCACTTTCTGGCATAGGCGACTCTGAGGGAGCAAGGGACTGTCCAAAATTCTGCTCCATACCATTGTTGCGACTATCTTGCGCAGAACTGAAAAGGGGAAGGTCGGGAAGTTGTGCCTCGAAGTCCGGATCTCGGACATCAGGAGTTCGGATATTGGGAGTTCGGATATTAGGAGACTGCAACATCCAAAGGTCAGTAAATTGTCTATCAGGAAACACTTTCGAGAGAAAGTGGGGGAACTCATAGGTACATAAGGAGTGGGAGGGTGCAGGAGAATGAAAGGAGTGGGATGGTGTCAGATGAAAGAACTAATAAAACTTACTGTTGCTCCTACTTCAGCTTTGTTTCCCTCGTAAGGATTGCTATGGCTAATATTTAGCCTTGAGGGTGGAGGAGGAGTCCATTTTGGACCACTGTGGTCGAAAGATGAATTCATGGAGACATCAGTCCCACTCCAGGATATTCTTCTATTGGGGGACTGACCGGGCATTGGTAGTCGACGAATCCTTGGAACCGGTCTCACAGGCTTTGATCTTTTAGCTGGCTCTCTGGTATCTTCCATTTTACCTGCAGCTGCACCAAAACTTCCTCTAGCAGATGGAGCGAAAAATCGAGAATCAGACATTTGACAAGGTCGCTTTCTCAAATGGGAGGCAGATGAGCCCTGATTGAGTTCGTCGTCATCAAAGGTCGACTTTCTCTTTCGGGCAGGATCATTAGACTGGGCGAGGTATCCATCAAATGATTGCCCCATCGGAGTTCCTGGGATCTGCGAATTTGCTGGCATATGGTTTCCAGCATGATATCGAGGAACTGGAGGATAAGAATTCTCATATGCATTCTCACTAGGTTCCTGATACTCAGGTTCGCCATTATCCTGATCAGCAAATGGATCGTATTGAATGCCAGACTGGGAATTTGCAGGCATGCTATAGTTGAATTGGTCCGGCACACCCTGCTTAATGCCGTTGAATAACGCTGGTGCTGCACCTTGAGAAATGGTGTCGGCGGTATGTGCTCTTGGATGATCTGTCTGTAGAGGGGCCGGCTGAACTCTGCTCACTTCGTAGCTCCGCCCCGCTGCGTAACTACTAATTCCCGAGTTCATTGATTGGGTTGGCGGCATTGAGTACACTGGATCTTGGGACTGAGCATATATTGACATTAGCTGGGGCCCATATTGTGCTTGTTGAGGCACCTGGTTTTGCGGGGGTGCCTGCATATTCGAGTAGTCGTATTGCCCATGTTGGCTCATCTCATTGTACGACTGTGATTGCAATTCTGGAAGATCACCTTGACCATATTGATGTTCAGGACGATAAAAAGGCGCGGGACCGATGTTCGCGCCAGGTGCCAAGGATCCTAGATCGGAATTTTTGTTCGCAATATTCGTGGAGCCACTTACTGTACCATTAGGCAAGTTGTTTACTGCTTGACCAATGGCAGCACCAGTCACCAAATCGATCTCGCCGTTCCTCAACTTCTGGACATATCCAACAGTATCTGCAAAATATGCTTTCCACATCTTAGTGGAATATTTGTTGCTGCCGGGATTTGGACCGACAGGACCTCCGCCTGCTTTCTTCAACATCTTCGCCTTTTGTTCGAACCAATTCTTGACCTTCCGATAGCTTAAATTGGTGTCGTCCATCAGAATCATTCTTTCTCCCGCAGATGGATAATGACTGTTGCGGTAGGCGGCTTCGAGGATATCTACCTGCCATGCTTTGTTACGTTCCGCTCGAGGTTGATTGCGAGCGCGTCTTCGACATTCGCTAATATGTCTGTGTGTATGTTAGCTTCATGACTAACCTTAAGAATAAGAGTTAATTCGTACCTTCCGACAATCTGCGAATCGACACCATCAACACCAGGAGTTGTCGGTGGGATGTGTGCTGCGTTGCATCTAATCGCAGTCTGTTTTGTTGGCTCCGTCAAGACGTCGGGATTGACGAGACTGTTGAAGTAGTTGTTGAGAAAGACGATGTGTTGGTCGTCTTTAGGCATCTTGTCTATTTCTCCTTTGTTTGTCAGCCCAGATTCGAAGGATTGATAGAATTAGAATGTTGGATTTGTGTCTTACCGGTATTTAGAGAGTCAATTGTTATTAAAGATGTGGGAAATACTGTATCAGTATCTCACTGCATCAAAAAGTTTAGCATTTCATTCATGAGGCAGACTTGATATCCTAAGAGGATGTAGAAATATTATGAGAATGGTCTAACCTTCGGAAGTCCGTTGACTTCGGTTGCGAAATTGTTACTCGCAGAAATTGCGGGTAATGTGGCTGGTAAAAAGCGTCTGGTATTCACCTAGAATTATTCCTGATGAGAATAGTAGGTTTATTGGAGTTCTTCGCGAATTCGGTAGTCACTTTGTGGAGAAAGACTCGTAGGGCTGAGAGATATTGGGAAGAAAGGCAACTCGTGTTGAAGATGGTAGTTTTGTATGTTAAGTTGAAGAGACTAGAAGTAGTCAAACTAAAGAGTTACTGTCTTGTTGGAAAGTCCTTTAGATATCCAAAAGTATGTGTTAATGCTTTTCTCAAAGGTCGCGCATTGAGAAGCTTATATCTAAGGAGAGTCTTGAAGTTGTTAATGCTTGAATCACTAGCGCGATGTATTGTTGCTAGCGCGACGGTTGAAACATTGAAGCAAGAGGGGAAGTATGGTAGAGACGGCTGTTACGGTTTTTTTGACCCGTGCGCCTCGAGGTTTACGGTGTTGTTGACAGTACAAGTTTATTTATATATGGTACATGATTTCTAGTACATGGACTTGAGCCAGTCCCCAAGGAGTAGTAGGGTGGGATCTCTCCATTTAGCTATCGTGGAGTTGTTGACTTTCTGCTCGCGAGGTGCCAATGTGGTTCTTAGTTGCGATTCTTAGGATTCTCCAATTGACGCGACCCGCTTTATCTGCTCAAGCGCAGGTATTTCTCTGCTTTCATACTTGACCTTCTTCTGGTTTCTTTCTACACACTGACTACCTTGTGCGATCCTGAATATATTGCTACATCTAGCTGCCATCGATCATAGCCAAGATTAATCCCTTCATAGAATACGCGAGATCTTGATGCAGATTGACATTCTATTGACAGACATCCAGTCCATCGACGACTTCGATCAAGCACTTTTTACGAGCATAGCATCTATGTACCAGCGGAAACATAAAAAGTGAAACAGAAACGAATCGATAGAAGATGATAGAGAGATAGAGAGCATGTTCGATAAACCTAGATTAGATAGAAGAGAAAGATAGATCCAGCCAAAAGAAGACAAAGAGAATGGCAACTCGACTTCAAGTCAAACAGTTAGTATGAAAATCCAATTCTGAAGAAAGACCATACTTATCAAGTCGAAAACTCACTCTCATGAACTGAGTTTCTCTCCCAACTCCTCTAATATTGGCAAGTTCCCTATCCATTTCAATTATCCAGGACCATCCTCTCAGAGCACATCGCGATATCCCAAAGGCACAAGAGCTGCGGCAACATAAAGAACGTGATGACAGACATCCAAAGAAAACAAGGAGGGGCACAAAGGAAGATAGAACTACGAATGAATGCAAAGTGAGACGGGTGATGCCCGCGCATGCATGACGAGAGATGGAACCTCGATTGATCGCTGTACCTCATATCCTCGTATAATTACGATTCGTTATCCTACTTCTGTCGAGATTCTCATTAGCAATATGCAGACACCTCACGGGCTATCGACATCCTACCGCGACGAAAATGTACGAAGTTATTTTGCTCGACTCTTTGCGCCCATTTCGATGACTCTGGGAATCAGATTGTATATTTGATTAGTCACCCGTTCTGCCTCCCCCCTTTCAACGGAAATCCTCTTCATCACAAGATTCGCTTCAGAACGCTGTGGTTTTGGCATCAGGGCGAAGCAAACTCTTTCTTATATCCTCTGTTGTACAGCTAGATTTAGGTTAACTGGACTACCAATTCTAAACTTCAGAGCAGCGATCCAAAACATATCGTCAAATTACGGCCGCACATATTATAATACGAGAAGAGGGATCAGTATAGCAGAGATGGTCTTCAATCTCTCACGCGAGAGTGGTAGATGAGAAGAACAGGACCAGAAAGCGAGAACCAGGATTTGAAATCTCCAAATCAATAGGAACGAATGCATATAAGAAAAAGGCCATACAGTACAGTCAGAAGTGTGGGGTTTGTTGCAGTTCCGTCATGTATGAGGTAGATACCACGTCCAAGTGCTAATTAATTTAAATGATAGGTTCACAGATGTGAAATGATGCAGAAATATACAGCAGAACGAGCTACAACACCAAGTGAGCAAAGGACTAGAGACTGCGGATTTATAATAGATGGGAACATATATATATGCTATATTAGCATCATTAACGCGGCATCTAGTCCATGCCACTTGAGAGGGAAAGCATCGCAGATCTATGGAGAACCTGAGAGCGGCATGTTAGCACAAAGATGCGCATTTCACAAGAAACAAAAGGAGGGGACAAAATGGTACATTATCAAGCAAAAAAGTTTATCTGCTGGACTTTATCTAATATGCTCGATAATCATTTCAGAGTATAGAAGTCGCTTTGCTTCTTTTAATTGGTGCGCTTGATAAGGGGGTTAGCGACTCAGCACGGGCCTTTGTTGGCCTTCAAGTGTCTAATTCTTTTCAGAATCAGCAATAACCATCAAAGAGTTGTGGCTGGAGTCATAGTTCGTGGCGTATTTACCAACTGGAAGATTTTGTAGTCGTCTAGTTAGGTTTGAGAAGAGGAGAGCATAAATTGGACGAAAGTTCACAATCATTGAAAAAAGTTTGGCTACTTTATCGTGTCTTTGATGGTGTAACCTTGAATTAAATTAAGCCTAAAGTGATACCGTTCCGTTAATTAAGCCCAATTAGAACTTCGAATCGCATTTTGAAATCATCTACATTCTCATTTATCATTAGTATAATGCATTTGCTGGCCTTTCATTTAGATGCCGATCCGTAAGTTGTCGTCGGACCATGTTCAACCAAGATATCGTCCTCTTTGAAAGTCGTTGCTCGTCCATAATCATTATGTGCTATCTCCTCCAGACTCAATCCTTGAGTTTCGCGCAAGAAAAAGAATGATACAACTGCAATTATGCCATCGAACAGACCCCAGAGGAGGAATGTACCGCTAGCCTTGTGTTAGTTTTCTCCACAAAATATGGATTCGAGTGTTTGTGTGTGTTACTTACCATCCAAGGTTCTCGATCATGTACGGAGTTGTTAAGGAAAACACGAAGTTGAAAAGCCATTGGGATGACACTCCAATGGCGATACCTGGTTCTCTGATTCTCGTTGGAAAGATTCTGCATCAGAAGTCAGCAAAATACAAGGACATGAATGCACGGGTAAAAAGTTTTTACTCAGATACATATGGCCATGGCAGTGGTCCCCAAGAAAGATTGTATGCAATAACAAACATGTAGATGAGAGCCACTGTCGCGATACCACTACTTGTAACACCTCCAGTCTTTGTAGCTGGAAGCTCTTTGACCACGACTGCAGTTGTAATTTGACAAGCACTCATAAATAATGCTCCACCAATCGAAGCTACTCGTCGACCAATGTGATTGGAAAGGAAGAGTACAAAGACTCCACACGCTACAATTTTGATTGCACCAAATATGGCAGTCAGTAGTAAATCTCGATTTCCACCGCCGACGAGTAAATTAAAATATTGCGGCCCATAATAGGCAAAGGCTGTTGCGCCTGTAGCTTGTTGAGCTGTGAAGATGGCGAATGCTGTGAGAATACGATTGAAGTTATTCCTTTCAGCAAGTTCTATTGAACATTAGCATCTACTTTTCTTTGTCAAGAAGGTGACGAATCATACCCTTCACATGAAATCCTTCGGTAGCTCTCTCTTCCATTTCGACGCCTACACGAATTTCCTCCATCTCTTCAATCGTATCTTGCGATTCATCTGCTCGAATCCACCTTAAGGTTTCCCAAGCCTCGTCGTGTCTTCCTTTCTTGGTAAGCCAACGAGTACTTTCCTTCAAAGTAAACATTCCGAGACCAAGAAGACCGGCTGGGATAATCTGGAGACCAATGGGAAACTGCCATTGTCTGGACACAGAAGGGACTACTTCAGCCGTGGCATAGTCAACCCAATACGAAGTAAATATTCCTATATTAATGTCAAACTCTAGCCGGGTGCTTGTTCATCACTCCACTGAAACTAACCAAAAGTGTAAAACCATTGGAAAAAGCTCCCAATCTATCCTCGCAACTCCTTCGGTGCCATCTCTGCATTAAACATTGGAACAACCACACTCGCAGCTCCAAGGCCCGCACCAGCGACAACTCTCCCAGCATAAAATACTGCCATACTATGAGAATTGACCGTTTCCATTATGGCACCAACAATGAAAATAAAGGAAGCAATTTGCAATGAAAGCTTGCGCCCGATACGATCCGCAATGGGCCATATGAAGAAACATGCCACAAAAGCACCCGCCTGCTGCAGGCCAACAGCAAGAGAACTGACGCGAGTTGCATGAGCAGTCGAATATTTGAAATCATTAACGAAAGATTTGAGAGTCAAGACTCCACCTATTCATCGTCAAAATCCTGTACTAATACTACTATGCTGGCTTTATCACGATGTACTTACCAACACTATATGACTGTTGGTAAATCAAACAATTGAGCAAACACACAAGCAGGTGAGCAAGAAATGAAGGGACACACACATGCCACTATCATAGCCAAATAGAAATCCCCCCATACAAACTACACTTGCCAGCCAGTACGCTCTTACTTTGCCAAGTGTTGAATTCTTCATGATGACTACCATGGTCAAGAATTAGACAAGATCTAAATATTCCACAACGCCATGCTAGATCTTCGAGACTTTCAACTAGTTGTATACATTTGAAGTAAATTTCGGTCATTTCCATCGTTCTGCTTATCTCATGTGGTCATCACAAGCATTAATCACGTCTTGACAGGCATATCCAATTCGATGACGAGGTTGCATAGTATGGGGAAGAGCGACGAGGGGAAGCGATCTATTTTACTGGACCCCGCAATCCATTTCATGCGGGGTACATTGGTGTTGTCTGACATGTACATTATTGGATGGAAATAGATTATGCTCCACTTTTGTGGTCAGTGATTATGGAGTTATACTACCGAAGACTGCAACATCGTCTGAGATTGAAACTACCGCATATGTATTGGTGATCAATCTATCTGTGAATATATTTCGTCTTCTGCTCCAATCATGGAGCATTCATGGAGTTACTCAGTCCACTCTCTTACGAATACTTGTGGAGTGCAACGCGACGAGCATGCCGCTAACGCTTTGACACTTGGTCGACAGAGGGAACATCATCTGATCTTTTGTGAGTACAATTATGTGAGTGTATTCGAGGTAAGATTTCTATTGTTGCAAAGAAGACGGACTCAACATCAAGTTCGTGTTACATTCTCTTTGTCTCTCTTCTCTTTTGTGATTCTTTGGAATCGAGCTACAAACATTATACCAGACTTGAGCCTCACTCCATCCTCGATCCACAATGTCCTCTCCAAAACGTCCCAATTTTCTCGTAATCGTCGCCGATGATTTAGGATTCTCGGATCTCTCGTGTTTCGGAGGGGAAATCAGCACTCCAAACATCGACAAAATAGCACAGGCTAGAATCCGCTATACGGATTTCCATGCTGCAGCCGCATGTTCTCCATCACGAGCAATGATAGTGACAGGTACCGATCACCATATTGCCGGTCTCGGAAATCTAATCGAGTGGACCAATATTTCCGGGCAAAACGATCCGAGTGGGAAGATGTCCACGGCGCCGCAGAGAGGTATGCCAGGGTATGAAGGGTACTTGATTGAGAAGGTGGCTACGTTACCGGAAATTTTGAGAGATGATGGATATATGACTTTGGTATACTTGATTTCCCTTCTTCTCGTTCCTCATGATAACCACCATCATGATAGAGTGCTACTTAAGATTAAGCTAACCCACTCAGATGGCCAGAAAATGGTGCCTTGGTCTGACCCCCGAGCATTCCCCAAAAGCACGTGGGTGGAGCGAAGTTTTGCTCATCTCCCTGCCTGCAGTAATCATTATGGCTATGAACCTCAACTCCACGCTCCCGATCAAATCCCTGAGTTTATGACTATGAGTTTTATAGCATTCCATAGTGAAGATGGAGAATGTGTCAAGAAGTTACCCGAGGATTGGTACTCAAGTAATGGGTATGGAGATAAGATGCTTGAATACCTAAAAGAGAAAAATGAAAAGAAAGATGAGAGACCTTTCTTTGGTTACTTCCCATTCACGGCTCCTCATTGGCCGTTGCAAGCCCCGCCAGAATTTGTGGAGAAGTATAAAGGAGTATATGATGCTGGACCCGATGCGCTTCGTTTGCAGCGTCTTCAACGGCTCAAAGATCGTTGATATCTCCAGATGTGGAGCCCCATCCCGTCGTTGCAGATGAAGTGAAGGAATGGAATGATCTCACTGCCGAAGAGAAAGCAAAGTCGTGTAGAGCAATAGAAGTATTCGCTGCGATGGTTGAATGTATCGACTACAACGTTGGACGTGTAGTCAAGGATCTAGAGGAACTGGAGAGCTGGATAATACATTCATATGCTTCATGTCAGACAATGGTGCTGAAGGTGCTGCTTATGAAGCTTATCCTATTGTTCAAGGAAGCATGATCCAACACTTACAAAAATACTACAACAATAGTTTAGAGAATCTCGGGAACGGAGATAGTTTCATTTGGTACGGATCGCGCTGGGCACAAGCTGCCACAGCATCGAGTCGTCTCTACAAAGCCTATACCACCGAAGGAGGTGTTCGAATTCCGTTCGTTGCTCAATTTCCCTCAAGTTTCAATACCCATACTACCAATAGTATAACACACAATTTCGCCACAGTAATGGACCTCGCGCCTACTATCCTCGAAATGGCTGGAACCCAGCACCCGGCACTCACATATCAAGGACGAGAAATCGTACATATGCGTGGTAAATCCATGCTCCCCTTCATATCCGGCACATCTCCCCGCATCCATGCTGAAGACTTTATCTCCGGTTGGGAAACCTGCGACCGAGCCGCTCTGCGCAAAGGATCTTGGAAAATTGTATCTATATCAAAACTCAAGGGAACCGAAAAATGGCAATTATGCAATCTCTCTGTTGATCCTGGAGAGATACACGATCTAGCTGATGCGCAGCCGGAGAAACTGAAAGATTTGATCAAACTGTGGGATGGATATGTATTGGAGACGGGAGTTGTACCGCTTGCGCCTGAGTTGGGAAATTGGTTGAAGGCGACGGAGGAATAAATGCCGGAAAATGTCTGGATGGAGTATGAGTATTGGAAAGATGGAGCGAGGGATGAGCCGGAGAAGTTTAGAAGGGATGCACCAAGGTTTGAGAGGGTTATCACAGGGGCTTGAGGGAGTATTGGGAGGGGTCTGGATGGGTCTGGATGGGAGATGTACGAACGCATTTGGTTTTGTAGTTTGATTCTCAGAGTTAACACGAAACCCTCATATGTACCTACTATCTGCTCATCGTCTTACAATTGCATGTTGCATAGCCAATAGTAAATGCTTTCTTGTGTATCTAAATACTATAAGAACTATCAAAAGTGAGATATCAAAGCTAGTGCTTTTCAACAAACCCAAATATGAGGAGGAGAACAAGAATAGTCATCACTCACATCAACGATTTTACATCTACAACAAACAGGATTAATCTCGCATTTCTCATGCAAATTAGCTGTCATTTTCTTGATATAATGCTAGCATTCTTCAACATCCAGGAGTCATCGAGCTACATCTCTCTGACTCTCCTGGATAATATGTAGGCTGCGCAACGGGTACCCGCGGGGCGGATAATGACCTCGACAGATAATCCGCGGATAATCCGTCTGCTGAGCGGATAATTCAAAAATCTGAATGGGTAACCTGCAAAGTAAGTATAAATTACCTACGAATATTCACCTATCTATATATTGTATAATTATTTATAATCTTTTATAATATTAGTATAATTTTATAATTAATATAAAAATTAGTATAAAATCACTTTTGGACTGGAAAATAATTTAGAAATAGCTTTATATTTTAAACGAAAAAAGCGAATATATTCATATAATCCACAAATTATCCATAAATAATCTATATATCTACAAATAATCCACCTATTTATAAGTAAATGGATTATCTACAAACAATCTACAAATTATCTATACAAAACAAATAATTTTAAAACCTTAATAAATAATCTGTGGAGCAAATAAAACCTTTAACGGATAACCCACAGAGCGAATTATTTGTAAATAATTCATGGGTATAGATAATTTGTGCGCAGTCTAATAATATGCAAGCCCGCTTCCCCCTTCCCCCCAAACAGAAAGCGAAATTCTATCTATATGTCCTTCACAAAGTGTGTATAGAATAGTAGAAGTGAGCACCCTACTGAATTCAGCAACAAGCACAAAATATATTGATATATGGCATACATAAATATGGGAGGTTAGTGTGTACATAGGATGCAAAGAAGAGGGATGATAAACCTAGTGCACCTATTTACATATTCTAATTCTTTTTTTTTGTTTGCTATTATCGGCTTTGGCAGCAATGGGATAAGAAAGCTGTTTTATTAGTATCTACGAGGCTGGTTCAGGGAAATTGAAATTCAACATTCAGCACATGCTAAGTTTACATACTTCTCAAGCGGGTTACTGGAGATAGGAGGCTCAATATCATTGTTTCGCATCAATTTATATATGTTTGTTCTCCCTCTATTCTCAACACTGGCACGTAGTCCGAGTGATCTTGCCGGATCACTGTCGTATGTATAATAGCTAGGTACTCATATGAAGTGAGTAAGTAGATAAACACACGATCAAAGTAGTTTGTTAAATTTCTATTTTAGCTTGCAATAAATTCGTATCACCAAAATGTCAATACCAAATCTAATCAACAAGTAACCACCGATCCCGACTGTGATGTTGGAGAATTCTACAGCCAACCCCCCCTCATATTACTCGCAATCATCAACCAAACAACTTATCACCAAACAAAGACGAAACTATTCATTTCTGGCTGCAATGGGCAATTATCTACACAGAAGACTATAAGCTCAACTCTCAAGATAGTATATCTCCTCTTGCTACGTAACATATTCAGGCGTACCATTTATCTTGTTCACAGCCCGAGAATCCCGACGAGAGTTTTTATAAACATGATGATTTCATTTCGATGAATATAATATTCCTGCTGTAATTTTGAGACGGTATCATTTATCATCAACACCATAATCCCATCATCATCACCATCATCACCATCATCAAAACTCTCAATAGCAATTTCGAGGTACGACTGTATGTATTGAGACGAGTACACAGTTAAATACCCGAAAAATCAACAGCGTGTGCATTTAGGAAGTAATCAGAATGGACTCGACTACCTGGAACCAGATGCAAGCGACTGGAAGCGACTGGAAGGGGTGCGGTTCGGTTTCGGAACAAGAAGAAGAGGTTTCGAAAGGGAATCGTACAAAACACGAGTAGTGCTGTACCATTCGAGGTTCGAGAATGGTTCTTCAATTCCACATTACACGGGGGAACTCGATAAGACGTATACTCAGCATCATATCATACACGCATTCACGAACAAAATGGGAAGGGGGGAATAGCTATCACATGACTACTGTACCATTTCGATTCCTTTTTCATTAGCAAAACGGTACCTCAAAACAAGTACCGAGAAGAAGATCTATTTATTTCTCTTTCCTTCCAATCTTCATTCAGATTTCAACAAGTCTACGAATAGATATTCAAAAGTGGATATTCGCTCCGTGTTCATCACCTATCAACCGACTGCTCCGCCCACTGACACCTATCAATCTGTAGCAGTAGGTATCCAACCTCACAATCTGATGTATGAGTGACAGAGCAGATTACATATTTAAACACTTCTTAGTTGTCGGATGATGGTCGGATATATATGTATGGATAACCATGGTTAATAGCGCGAAGGTTCAGGTTGATGTTGCTGCGATCAAGGAAGCGCGGTGAATTTCACGAAAATGGAGAGTAAGGTGTTGAAATACAATAGCTTAACTTTACCGCGGAGGGCTTATGATTGAATACGGTTTTGGATATCAATGGTCGCATCTACCATCAACTGAGTGATATTGTGAAATGAATTCTCCGAAGTCCGTAGGTATTCTTCACAATCACCCATACCCTTCGTATCTAAACGTTTGATACTAAGCCCTGGATATGATGTTAGCGACATTTATTCATGAGACTTCGCTAGCCTATTTTCTCCCGGTCAAAGAATCATCCACTGAAATCAGAGAATGCTACGAGTCTACGAGCCTCACCGTTCACCGGACACCACAGAAATTCCGCACCGTCCAAACAATCCACGCATCAAATACCCAATTAAAGAACTCATATTTGTAGAACAGTGACACCCATCAATCAAAACTAGAAACTCGACTCCATAGAAAAGATAAGAACCTCAAACTCGTAACTTCGTAAGCATCTGAGAACTTCCAATTACCAACCAAACACTTTCTCATCTGACCGCCCTGCGAAACTCCGCCTCTTCAATCCGCATCAAAGATCCAAACTCCACCCCAAAATTATTTGTAAGCAGTGAAGTTGTCATATCACGTGAAATGTCGTGCTTTGTGTTCACAATGACACAAGTGAAAGCAATCGGTAGGGGGGATCAAAGCTTTCCGATTACTTACCGAGAAGATGATTTGAGGATCGACTTTTCGATAACTTATGAGGAACATTGATCTGGGTCAATTTTATTAGCATGAGACGCTTTCTATTAGTGAGGAATCAACAAGTGACGAAGCAAAGAAGGAAACAGGTTTATCTTAAATAGAAATAAAACCCCCCGAATGAGTTTAAATTTGGTAAAAAGAAGTTAAAAATTGCCACCATAAATTCTTGCTCCAAAATCTTCAATTCACAATTCGATATACAAAGGACCCGAGATTCAGGAACCAAAGAGGAATAAAGAACCTTCTCTTGCATCACAGCCTTCTTAAAACTCTACCTCATGCAGTCAAGTCAGGAAAGTGATTCACCAAATAAAACAAGCACAAAAAAATGATAAGATCTCGATCCTTACTAGCGTCTATCACGCCATATCAAATTCTCAAAGTAAGGCAAAATAAGGCAAAACAAGGCAAAATAAGGCACCTACATCTTCCTCAAGCCTCGATGACAGCACTTACTGCCCACGGAGTCATGGCACGGTAATGCGGTAATGAAAGAATGATTACTTGTCTTTGCCCGAAGAAGTGTAAGTCCGTCTTTGTAAGAAGAGTGAAATGTCGTGCTTTGGTGTGATGGTCCACTTTTCTTTTGTAATTGTCGATGGGAGAGATATACCAAGAGAGTATATACCAGCACTCGAGTCATCTTTCCTACTTCACTCCCACTTCAACTTCTTTGGCATCGTGTGATCATACTCTCTACTCTTTATATAATATACACAACATACTATCATCTTAAATCATATCCCTTTGTCATATTCTTTGCAACTTGTGAGACTAAATTGGATCACACCATCGAGAAGATAATTGTGCCATTTATGATTGCTGGACTTTAGACATCACTTTCTTCTTTCAACTTTCAACTTGTCATCAACCATACAAAATCTACTCTTTTTTCTAAAATAAAAACAATATCTTAAGAGAGAGTTTGTTTACTTGTATTCCAATTGCAATTTCAACCCAATAAAAAGTTTTCTTCCTTCGCTCAACCGAAAAATATATCAAAATGGGTCTCCACCGCGAATCGTCTGCCTCGAATCTCGAGTCGGGATATGCTTCTGGAGCATCATCTCAAAGCTCTCTTCCTCAAATCGTCCTCACCAAACCCCACCTCAAGTTTATCAATGCATCACTCAACAATCTTCAACCGATGGAAATTCTCCGATGGGCTAAGATAACCTTCCCAAACCTCTACCAAACCACTGCTTTTGGAGTAACAGGTCTCGTCACACTTGATATGTTAAGCAAGCTCCAAAAGGAAACACCAGAGCTACCAAGCATCGATGCTATCTTCCTTGATACCTTGTATCACTTCAACGAAACACTCGAATTGGTTGAGAAGACCAAGAGCAGATATCCAAATGTAAACTTGCATGTTTATAAGCCAGAAGGTTGCCAAACTCTTGGAGATTTCGAGGGAAAGCATGGCAAGGAACTATGGAAGACCAACGCCGATTTGTATGATTGGGTTGCCAAGGTCGAACCCGCTCAACGAGCATACAATGAGTTGGATGTTGCTGCAGTCTTGACT